AGGGTGTTGGAATGTCTTGAGCTTCTTCTTTCGGGGTTTGAACGGTGATGTTTGAGGCTTGGTCTTAAGGCCATCGGCTTTGGCGTCAGGGTAGTTGGTGAAGCTCCAAAATCCAATCCCTGAGCCATCATCGAATCATCCGCTTACGGCTTAGGGCGCTGGAACCTCGGTTGACCCTGTACCCTATTATTGTATAATTACTACCCAAAACCGAACTCTACCTTAGTGACAAACCCTCCTAAACACCCGACCCTAAACTCAAAAGAGTTTCAGGTTTAGGTTTTGGGGTTTATGCCTGATAAGGGGCCTGATCAGCCCTGAACCCCAAACCCTGCTGAGGGTCCTTCAGTACTAAACACCCAACCCTAAACCCTAAACCCTAAACCCTAAACCCTAAACCCTAAACCCTAAACCCTAAACCCTGGTAAGGGCACTACAGTACTACTGGACATCCTCGAACACCACTGAGAAGCCCAGGGCCCCGTGCAGATTGATCGCGGTGGCCTCCTCCTCAGGGGCCCCGGCCGCCTGGGTTCGTTTGGGGGTTTGGGGTTTGGGGTTTAGGGTTTAGGGTTTAGGGTTTAGGGTTTAGGGTTTAGGGTTTAGGGTTTAGGGTTTAGGGTTTAGGGTTTAGGGTTTAGGGTATGGGGTTTAGGGTTTAGGGTTTAGGGTTTGGGGTTAGGGGTTTAGGGGTTTAGGCTTAGGGGTTAAGGCTGTAAGGCTAGAAGAGCTGCTTTTTGTTCAGGCATAGGCTGCCAAGTCTAGTGTTTAACATTTGGTTCAGGGTTTGGATTTCAAGATTTAGCGCCATCCAAACTCAGGGAGCCTTTTTGGAAGGGGATTGTCCTCAAGACTCAAGCACGATTTTATTCTACTCAACTTAATTGAGCCTACGCAACCTCAATTAAGCCTGCGCAACCTCAACCCTATGCGACTCAAAACTGAAACATCTCAAAACCTAACCCCAAACCCTATACACCCGAACTCAGTCTACTAGTCACATACCCAGTAATTGTATACCGTTTCCCTTTACATATATATTGCTTTTCATGCTGCCAATGTTCCTATTTTCACCTAGCTGCTGAGTACCCAGGCCCACAAAAAGGCTAACCTTTCCATTATGGTGGGATTATATACACCCCAAAAAGCTCAAGGTTACCTCCCTAAACCCTAAAACCCTAAGACCCTAAAACCTAGGACCCTAAAACCCTAAACCCTAAACCCGAAACCCTACACCCTAAACCCTAAACCCTAAACCCTAAACCCGAAACCCTAAACCCTAAACCCTAAACCCTACTCAGCTACGACGTTCAACTATGAGGGGCCCCGCAGCGCCCTGAAGCTTCTCAGAGCTCGGCAGCCGCCGTTGCTGCCACAATCTCCTGGTGCCGTGGGCAACTGTCAAGGCAGAGTGGCCTTCCCAAAACCCTAAAACCCTAAAACCCTAAACCCGAAAACCCGAAAACCCTAAGCCCTAAACCCGAAAACCCTAAACCCTAAAACCCTAAAACCCTAAAACCCTACAACCCTAAAAACCCTACAACCCTAAAACCCAAAACCCTAAAACCCTCAACCCTAAACCCTCCCAACGCCAAGCCCCTCTGACGCAGTACATCCCAACTGGTCCTCGACCTCCTCCTCAGGGGTCTTCTCAGCTACGTCCTTGCGCAGCCGCCAACCCACTCTGGATGTTGGTCTAGATGGGCTGAGGGGTTTAAGGGTTTAAGGTTTTAACCATAAACCCTAAACCCTAAACCAAAACCCTAAACCCTAAACCCTAACCCTTGTAGGGGCTGCTTGGGATTTAGGGCTTCAGTTTGGGGACTTCGGGTTCATGAAAGCGATGAAGGGGTTTTCCCAAGTAACCTTGCCCCCGAGACTCTGTAAACCTCAAACCCTGCACCCTAAACCCGAAGCCCTAAAGCCTAAACCCTCAATCCCTCACCTCCATGAACCTCGAAGCAACTGGAGCCCTTGTCCTCGTCTCCGGCGGGGGCCTCATTGGCACGGCCTTCCGATGCCTCCGAGCCTGGCGGATTCGAGTTGAGGGTTTGAGGGGGGCCTAGGGTTAAACCCTATAAGGTCTAGGGGTTTAGGGTTTAGGGTGTTGAGGTTTTCGGAATTAGGGTTGAAGCTTTAAGGAAGTTCGGGTTTCGGGTTGGGGCTGTAGCTTAGGGTTCATTCGGAATGTAGGGTTCCCGGGTGCATACGGGTTTTAGGGTGCATTTGAGGGTCGAGGAAGTTTGGGGAGTTGAGAGTTGAAGAATGGCTGGGTTAAGGATGTAAGAACTTAGGATGGTAAGGTTTAGGACTTGGGCACGATAGGCATTAGACTATAGGACGTAGGGTACGCTACAAGGGTCTAGTGTGTATTGGTTTATATAGACGTTTAAGAGTTCCCAGTTTTGGGGGCTGGGCGTGTAGGCAGTGTGGCTGCGTGCTGGATTTTCCTGGACGCCGGAGCACACCTGCAGAGCGCCATCAGCACGGGCCCAGACCAAGGCAAACTGGCGATATAGTACACCGCATGGTGCAGGTGTCATCAAATGAACTACTTTGCACGTGCTTGCGGCACTGATTGTGGGACAAGGAGTCATCTTTGTTCAGACCCCGTGGGCACGGCCGTCCACTGGCGCTGCACAAAGTTGACATATCAAGGCGGCCGGATGGAGGGCCTTGTTGGCTGGTTTGGGCGCCGGGGGCCCCTTCGACTCTCCTGTCACTCATGTCGCTTCTCTCACTCCTGTCGCTGTCGAAGATGAAGAAGGTATGGAGGTGGAGCCAGTACCATCATCCGCCGCATCCGGGTCATCCGTCTCCGACTTGAGAAGCCGGTCGATCTCACGTTAAGCTCTTGCTCTTCTTTGCTTTCTTCTCCGTCTTCTCCTTGTCTTTCTTCCTCACAAGAATGCCCTGTCTATGATTCGTATGTAACGGCTGCAATAAAGTAGGAGTCGGGTTTTCATTTCATGTTAAACCCTAAGCCCTAACTTCGTGGGATGAAGTCGCCCAAAACCTCCCTGCAAAGCCGAAACCCCCCCTTCGAAATGGCGCGCTGAGGCCTTCAGCCACGCAACATCAACAACTCACACAAGCTCCAAGCCCACAAACTCCAACAGCCCGACGCGGTGTGCTTCCCACACCCTGGAATCACTAAAAAGCCCACTCCGCAAAACACCTAAATTTTAGGAACCCCTCTCAGCCCTAGACCGTGGACCTTTAGGCCCTGCAACACCCAACAAACCCCTCAAGCAAAAACGCACACAACACGAAACCCTAAACCCAAAACCCTAAACCCTAAACCCTAAACCCTAAACCCTCAACCCTCAACCCTAAACCCTAAACCCTAAACCCTAAACCCCGGAGTCCCCAAGCCCTGCAGATGGGGCGCCTCCCTCACCGACCTCGGCCCTGGGAGGCGGTGCAGAGAGGAGGGAGACGAGATTTCAGGGCTTGCTGGGTTTAGGGTTTAGGGTTTAGGGTTTAGGGTTTGGGGTTTAGGGTTTAGGGTTTAGGGTTTAGGGTTTAGGGTTTAGGGTTTAGGGTTTAGGGTTTAGGGTTTAGTGTTTAGGGTTTAGGGTTTGGGGTTTGGGGTTTGGGGTTTGGGGTTTGTTCTAGGAAACTCTTCGGAGAGTTTCAAGGAAAGTTTCGGGGCTTTAGGTTTAAGGTCAGGGGGTTGAGGGTTCAGGGACTGGAGTGCAGGGATTTGCGGGGGGGCCAGTGATTGGGGTTCGGGGGGTTCTCAGGTTTTTGGGTCGAGGGTTTGCTTGGAAAGGTAGGCTTGCAGCCACAGAATCATGACGAAGAAAAGGTTGCCTGAATTTGTTCACCTCACCTCTATCCACCCATGGGTCTGCAAGAGTGGACAAGCAGGGGTCTGAAACTTCAGCTCTTTTCGGGGTTTGGGGTTCAGGGTTTAAGTGAACGTCTAGGCTTTTCAACGCGCACCACTCCTTGTCTAGAACAGCGGCAATTCTGAACAACATGCCAGCATGGGCTACTATCACAGGATTCACCCGGTTTTCAACCCCAAAAAAAACAGAACCCCGAAGGATGACGAAGGCCTCAGTAAGGCTTTGCGATTACCCCACAATCAGCCCTGTCCAGGGGCTCCTTTGAGGGGAGCAGAGGCTCTAGATGCCATGGGCTTCTACTGGGCTCTTTCAGGGATTCCTTGCTGGCAGTGTTGGGGTTGGGGGCTATTTTTCCCCCTCGTCCTTCTGCGCCACACGCTTCTCTCCCTCCCTCCCCCTGCCCGAAGGGGCACCTGCGCTTCACAGGGGGGTCTACAGGCTGGCCGCCTGGGTCGAGCTGCGCCCGGACGTGGCGGCTGTCGCCGCCGTGGAAGCTGCAGCCCCAGGTCACCACGGCGCCAGTGCCTCGCAGGGCGGCAAAGGCGCCCGAGGTCGCCTGAATGGCCTGAATGTCCTGGAGCTTCTCCTCGGGGCTTCTGTGGAGGAGTGTGCTACTTAAGGCTGCCATGAGAGGCAACTGATCTTCCTCTGACCTATATGTTCATGTTCTGGCGAAACCGCTTACTAGCCAACCATGTCTCGATGCCTATTGCTGCTTGGGTAACTGAGCTTTAGTCCCTTAACGGCGCCGTAACTTAGGATGTTTCCCCCATAAACTAACAATCCTTCATAGGGGTTCTAACAGGGGGTACTATAATCCCTACTAAGGAGCTGTTGGTATAAGGGGGAACATCCCAAGCCGTAGCTGCAATCAAGCTTCCTTCAACCCTAAACCCTAAACCCTAAACCCTAAGCCCTAAACCCCAAGCCCTAAACCCTAAACCCTAAACCCTAAACCCTAAACCAAATTATTCAGGCCCCTATATTAGCCGCAACCAGGCTTCCTGCACAGCGCTGCTGTTGCCACCCAACCTGCCATCCCCCCAGGTCACCACGGAGCCATCTGAGCAGAGCGCGGCAAAGGCCGCCTCGGTTGCCTTTTTGCGGTGCAGGGGCTTATAGGGTTTAGGGTTTAGGGTTCAGGGTTTAGGGTTTAGGGTTTAGGATCTGGGTTTTGGGTTTAGGGTTTGGGGGCAGAGGTGTAGGGTTCTCCAGAGATTCGAGGGGTCCACCACAAACTGGGTCCTGGATCTGCTCCACGTCGTGCAGCTGCTCCTTAACAGCCGAGCTGTCACCGCCGAAGTGCTTCACACCCCAGGTGACCACGGAGCCATCCTTTCCTGAGTTGCCCAGTATCCTAGGGGAAAACTACAAGGCTAGCCTTGAGGATTGTGTGCGGATTAGAATACCGCCCCCCGACCCCCCCACCCCCCCCCCCCCCAAAAAAAAAAACAAAAAGGTTAAAGGTGACCTACTGGCTGGTTCTGAGTAGGGAATGGGGAAATGAGGTAGAGTAGGGAATGGGGGAATGAGCTACCCTATATACTCCCTTAAAGGGCATCCCTTAGAATATATATATATATATGTAACCGCTAGTGCCCTCATTTCCTACTAAGAACCAGAACCCTAAACCCTAAACCCTAAACCCTAAACCCTAAACCCTAAACCCTAAACCCTAAACCCTAAACCCTAAACCCTAAACCCTAAACCCTAAACCCTAAACCCTAAACCCTAAACCCTAAACCCTAACCTAAACCCTAAACCCTAAACCCTAAACCCTAAACCCTAAACCCTAAACCCTAAACCCTAAACCCTAAACCCTAAACCCTAAACCCTAAACCCTAAACCCTAAACCCTAAACCCTAAACCCTAAACCCAAACCCTAAACCCTAAACCCTGAACCCTGAACCCTGAACCCTAAACCCTAAACCCTACTCCACTGCCAAGCTTCGGAGCGCCGCAAAGGCCCTGCCCGAGGCCTGAATGTGCCGCACGCCCGGCTCGCCCTGGAGCTGGTGCCGGACCGGAAAGCCTAGGAGCGTTTTAGGGGTTTAGGGTTTAGGGTTTCGGGTTTAGGGTTTCGGGTTTCGGGTTTCGGGTTTTGGGTTTAGGGTTTAGGGTTTAGGAAAGCCTAGGAGCGGCCCTTTCAACAACCCTCTGAACAAAGTATTCCTGAGGTTTAGGGTTTAGGGTTTAGGGTTTCGGGTTTAGGGTTTAGGGTTTTGGGTTTAGGGTTTAGGAAAGCCTAGGAGCGGCCCCTTCAACAACCCTCTGAACAAAGTATTCCTGAGGTTTAGGGGTTAGGGTTTAGGGTTTCGGGTTTAGGGTTTTGGGTTTTGGGTTTAGGGTTTAGGAAAGCCTAGGAGCGGCCCTTTCAACAACCCTCTGAACAAAGTACTCCGAGGTTTAGGGTTTAGGGTTTAGGGTTTAGGGTTTCGGGTTTCGGGTTTCGGGTTTTGGGTTTAGGGTTTAGGGTTTAGGAAAGCCTAGGAGCTGAACTTTCAACAAAGTATTCCTGAGGTTTAGGGTTTAGGGTTTAGGGTTTAGGGTTTAGGGTTTCGGGTTTCGGGTTTCGGGTTTTGGGTTTTGGGTTTGGGAAAGCCTAGGAGCGGAACTTTCAACACCTCTGAACAAAGTGTTCCTGAGGTTTAGGGTTTAGGGTTTAGGGTTTCGGGTTGAAGATCCTCTTCAACCCCAGATGCGGCAAAATAGAAAACATGCCCAAAGAAGAGCCCTGCCTAAAAGCTGATGCCCTAAACCCTAATGAAAACCCTGAACCCTAAACCCTAGGCCCTAAACCCTAAACCCTAAACCCCAAACCCTCAACCCTCAACCCTAAACCCTAAACCCTAAACCCTAAACCCTAAACCCTAAACCCTAAACCCAAGCCCAGGAGCTGATGCCCCCGAAGTCGTGCCTTCCCCAGGTCACCACCGAGCCGTCCTTCAGGGTTTCGGATCCCCCTAAACCCTACACCCTAAACCCCAAACCCTAAACCCTAAACCCTAAACCCCAAACCCTAAACCCTAAACCCTAAACCCCAAACGTCCTTCTTGATCGCTGCGAAGGCGGCCTCCGAGGCCTGGATCTGCTCCACCTCCTGCTGATTTTGGGGTTTAGGGTTTAGGGTTTAGGGTTTGGGGTTTAGGGTTTAGGGTTTAGGGTTTAGGGTTTAGGGTTTAGGGTTTGGGGTTTGGGGTTTAGGGTTTGGGGTTTAGGGTTTAGGGTTTAGGGTTTAGGGTTTAGGGTTTAGGGCTCTAGGGTTTAGGGTTTACGATTTCCACTTCCTGTAGCTGCTGCTCCAGGGCCCTACTGCCCAGGACGCTCTCAACGTTCCCCCACGTCACGACGCGCCCGTCGGACCGCAGGGCGGCAAAGGCGGCTCGGGTGGCCTGCAGGGACCGCACGCCGTTTAGGGTTTAGGGTTTAGGGGTTTAGGGTTTCGGGTTTAGGGTTTAGGGTTTAGGGTTTAGGGTTTAGGGCTTAGGGTTTAGGGTGTAGGGTTTAGGGTTTAGGGTTTAGGGTTTAGGGTTTAGGGTTTGGGGTTTAGGGTTTAGGGGCCTGCAGGGACCGCACGCCGTGAAGCTGCTGCTGCACGGAGTTGCTGTCCCCACCCATGCGTGGATCACCCCACGTCACCACTGAGCCATCGGCACGGATGGCAGCAAAGGCGGCCTTGGTCGCCTGGAGGTGCGTGACGTCCCGGAGCTGCTCGCGCACGTCGCTGCTGTCCCCGCCTGTCTGAGGCACACCCCAAGACACGGCGGTTCCATCCGAGAGGATGCCAGCAAAGGAATCTCTTGCAGCCTGAATCTGAAGGACGCTCTGTCCCTCCGGTGCCCTCCAGCAACGGCCGGGCTCAAGGCCACCCCAGAACACCACGGAACCATCCGACCGGATCGCAGCGAAGGTGCAGTCGTTTGCCTGGATTGACCGGACATCATGGAGGTATTGCTGCACATGCTGGCTGATTCCACCATCAGAGGCACCACCCCACGTCATCACACTGCCATCGGACAAGATGGCGGCGAAAGCCCGCAATGTGGCCTGGAGACTCTTTACTTGACCTTGGGTTGCTGTCAAAAGACTTAGGTTAACATAGTCGAGAATATGTACCAATACTCTATGGCATTCTCCTGTTTGCCACTTAACTACAAGTTTCTTACTGCACTGTACTGCCAGCCCAGTAACACAGCTGTTGAGGACTCACCCCACCAAGGCCCCAGGTCACCATCGAGCCATCGCTTTTCACCAGAGCAAAGGCCGTCTGCCCTCCCAGCAGCCGGGGCGCGCGCACGCGCGCGGTCAGCCTGGCGCCCTCCTCCCAGACCACGGAGTCCTCGGCCCGCAGGAGGGCGCCCTCCGCGGTGATGAGGTGCTCCACGCACACGCCGAGCTCGCGCTCGGCGGCAAGCTGGAGTTGCTCTACGCTGGACCCGGGCTCGCAGCGGAGGTGGGCGCTGCGGCCACTGAGCAGGGCGACCTCCACGGAGACGGCCATCCCCCAAGCGAGGAGACCGGTTCCGATGGCTGGCGACTGGGCTGCTGGGGAACCTGATCTAGAACACAGAAGAAGCCATAGTAACGCCATAGACATTTAGATGTACACAAACACACACATGATCATCAAAATATGTGTATATAAATATGTATGTATCTATATATGTATATGTATGTATGTATGTGTATATATATATATATATATATTGTACACATACATACATACCTACATACCTACAGACCTACATACCTACATACATACATACATACATACATACATACATACATACATACATACATACATACATACATACATACATACATACATACATACATACACACACATACTTATATCTAGAAAAGTACGTATACTTATAAATATACTGCGTATATGTATAAATAAGTATATGTGCATATATCTGTATACGTTGGGGCCCCGGAATGAGAAACGGCTCCCAGACAATGCGACTTGCTGCATCCGGGGCGGCTCCCAGAGCGTGAGGTGGTTGGTGCAGGGTTCAGGGTCTTTCGGGTTCTATCCTAAACCCTAAACCCTAAACCCTAAACCCTAAACCCTAAACCCCCTAAACCCCCTAAACCCCCTAAACCCCCTAAACCCCCTAAACCCTAAACCCCCTAAACCCTAAACCCTAAGCCCTAAGCCCTAAACCCTCTTTCAAAGAACCACCGGCCAAAACACACTTCAGGAACCCGGCACCGCAAGTCCATGAAGCTCAAAACCCAACATAGAGTTCGGAATTTAGGGTTTAGGGTTTAGGGCTTAGGGCTTAGGGTTTAGGGTTATGGCTGAGGGAGCGCAGGTTCCTAGTCTACAATGACATTGTTTTGAAGCTTCTTAACAAGAACACAGAAAAAATGTGAACCATGGGGTTTTGGGGTTTTAGAGGTTGAGGGAATTTCGGAATCCGAACGTCGCCCCTGGAGAGGTTCTAGTTCTCCAGTCGCCTCGCTCCCGACTCGAAGCCACAGCAGGCCACCCTAATCCCTGAATCGAAGTCCTGAACCTTAACACCCTAGGCCCCAAACCTCCCCCGAACCCCCCCGGGGAAACCCCTGAGTCCTGGAGCCTAAACCCTAAACACGTCAAACCCGGGAGGAACCTTCAGTCCTAAACCCTAAAACCTAAACCCTAAACCCGAAACCCAAAATCCGAAACTAACACCCTGAAACTTTACACCATACCTGGAGGTTCATGGGTACATGCAGGGAGGGTCAGAATGCAACAAGATGCTTACCCCTTTCCAGGGCACTTCGGAGCCCACCTTGAACTACCCGTGTGAACCTTCCAAGCCCTAAACCCTAAACCCTAAACCCTAAACCCTAAACCCTAAACCCTAAACCCTAAACCCTAAACCCTAAACCCTAAACCCTAAACCCTTTAACCCTAAGCCCTAAACCCTTTAAGCCCTAAACCCTAAACGCTGAGCCCCCAGGCTCTTCATCCTCAACCTGGCACTCGCCCCCGCACGGGCGGTGGGGAATAGGGTTCATCGCAGGGTTTGTTGAGATTATAGAGCTATAAAGCTTATAGGTTTATAAAGTTATAGGTCTATAAAGTTTATAGCCGGGTAAAGTAAAGTTTATAGGCTTATTATAAGGTTACTTTGGGTTTATGGGGTTTATAGGATATGTAGGAAATATAGGGTTGGTTTACATTGGCTTATAGGTTTTAAGCAAAGGTTTTGGATGGGTCGATGAAGCTTCTTCAGGGCTGACGGCTTCAGGGCTCGACCCACCAAGCGCCCTCAGCAAGGCCGGAGGTTGGCTCCACGCATGTAACCTGGGATGTTCCCCCTTATACGAACAGTCCTTAATGGGAATATAGTACCCCTATTATAATCCTGCTAAGGACTGCTAGTACAAGGGAGAACATCCCAACACGTACCTCTGATCTCCCGGCGCTTTGGGGTTTAGGGTTCAGGGTTTAAGGCTCAGGGCTTGTGGCTTAGGGTTCAGGGTCTAGAGTTTAGGGCTTAGGGTTTAGAGCTTGGGGCTTAGGATTTAGAGGACCCCTGCAACCAAAAAATTACAAAAAACATAAAACCCTTGGAACCCCAAAGCCCAAACCCGAAAGCTGAAATCGGAAACCCTAGACCCTCAACCCCACAACCCCGAAGCCTAACAACCCTAAACACCCTCAACAAAAAACCAAAGCTCCTTGTGAGCTCCAGGACCCGACCCAGCACTTGCAACAACCCCAACAGCCCGAGTGCCCTGATAACCCTGCGCCTGAGCTAACCCGAAACCCAAAAACCCTAAAGGCCTCCGACTCCGAGCCATGTCGCACACGCTCCGCGGCCTTGGCGCGAGTTCCTGGGATCCGGCGGTTTAGGGCTTGGTAGATAAGGTTCGGGGCTTGAGGGGTCAGGGCTTCAAGGTTTAGGACTTAGGGCTTTAGGCTTAAGGTTCAGGGTTCACGGTTTCGGGTTTAGGGTTTAGGGTTTTGGGTTCAGGGTGGGCTAGGTTTTATATGACCCGAACGGAATGCATTCATGCCCTTCCCGCGGAAGGGTTTTTTTGGGCCTCGCCGGTCCGCTTTGGGCCCAAGGGAGAGGTGTTGTTCGCGCCCTGCCCATGGAGGGAGGGGTTCTTTTTGGACCGTGCCACTGCCTGGCCATTGCCTGGCCTCTTCGTTCCAGGGATTCGGGTTGCCCGCAGAGATGCTATCGTGGCACACGCTGAAGACTCGCACGGCCGTCGTTGGTAGATGCCTTCCCTCTCCTGTCTGTGGCCGCCGCAGGGACACGGCAGCTGCTGGATTCAACATGCGAAACCCCCTGGAAGAATAGAGGGCACACACACACACCGGGGGAGCATAGCAGGCGTTGAGCACGCTTGTTCAGCGCACACAGAGAGCCGAAGTTTGCTAGCGTGGCTGCATTGCCCAGAATAAGAGTCCATGTCCGCTCCTGCATGAAAAACAGGCCAGGAGGGGCCACCTATTCGATCCTGCGCGCTCCACAGCGTCTGCGTCGTCTCCATGGCCGCCAGCGACGACTTGGATTGTAGCCTCAGCACAATGCAAGTGTGTCACAGTCTGTCTGCACGGTCTGCACGCTAAACCCTGCATGATTTCTTACGGAACAGCACACAGCACATAATGTCGCAATAAACAGACCTGCTGGGTTGGACGTCAAGCGTCTCGCCCGAAAAAGCCACTTCGTTCCAGGACTCACCACCGGGCACAACATTCTCCCTGTAATGCACATGTGCCTCGTGCCTACTTGGGACCATGCTTCTGGTGCTTCTTCACAAGTAAATGCTGCTTGAGCGTTTCAGCTGAGATCCAGCTGAGATGCCAGCGCGGCTCAGCGAGACTTTATCATTGCAAGGACTCGGCTGCAATTTGTGCGTTCCAGACCTGATGAACTTGATAGTAGACTCGAGGGAACCAATATTGGACAACATCTCACGCTTTCGGCCGCGTTAGCCCTCAAGCTGTTGCCAGTGCACCGCTGGCCCAGCGACGTCTAGCGACAACGAAGTGAAAGCAACAGACGTGATCCTGGAGTCCTATGGCCAAAGTGAAAGCAGCAGACCTCGTGAATTTCAATTCGGTGAATTCCTATGTTTGAGCAAAAACAACAAGCGACTTATCTCGACTGGTGTGGAATTCCTATGCTGCTAAAGTCACATTCTGCTAAGTGCATACTGGCTTCTTTGTTGTGCTCGGAGCAGCGTTCAACACTCCTTGCCCTTGTACACTGTCTCATCCACCCTCCAGTAGCCTGGTTTAGCCAGACTACTGTTGAATGGTTAAGGCCTCTTTAGGAGGCATCCAACTGCACTGGCAGGCCCACACCTCGCCTTCAGCGACGGCGTGGTCCCGCTTGCGCAAGAAAATCTTGCCGTACTCGGCTTTCATTTCGCGGTGACCCTTGACGCCGCAGTTCTGGTGACCGTACCACTTATTGATCTTCTTAGACGGACAATAAGAGTTGACGGCACCAAACTTCACCAAGAAGACGCGGCGCGTCGCGTCCACGTCCTGCAAAGTCAGTGCCAGTTTTTCGACGCAACAGTTTACGTGTTTTCCTTAACATACCAGCCACCTGGGACTGGTAAGGCACAATGCTCTCTGCCGGCCTTATTTCTAATTTTGGAATATGTGTTGCGAACTGTTCTCAAGTTTTCAAGGGCCAAGCGAGTCTGCCTTGCGCTTCACAACAACAAGGCCTCCAGAGACCTTGGCAAAATTTTGCGAGACGAACACTCACACACGAAGCGCTACTGAGAGTTGAGCGAAGAAGCACTGACCATGTTCTTCCTCAGAGATTTCCAAATTTCATTGGAGGCATAAGAGTCAGCTCACTACTACGGCATCAGCGCTTGGTTCGGCTTGCGGACTTGCCTCCAGCTAAAGACATTGCCAGCACTCAGCTGTCCAGCTAGGCTAGGACGGCCACTTGTCTTCCTCCTTCTTCGTAGAAGCCTTGTCGCTGCAATGTTCATGTCACTCTGACGCGCACGCCGGTCGAAGTGGAACCCTCCATCATGGGGGGGACAGGGCGCAAAAAAAATTCCCCCGGAAAACACCAAGCCCGTTTAGGGTTTAGGGTCTAGTTTTCGGGGGGCTTTAGGGCTTTAGGGTTGGGAGCTCCAGGGCTCCAGGGTTAGGATTTGGGGATACCTTAAAGGTTTAGGGTTTAGGGTATTTGGGTTTAGGGTTTTAGGGTTTTAGGGTTTCGGGTTTAGGGTTTAGGGTCTAGGGTTTAGGGTTTAGGGTTTTAGCTTTTGGGGGCTTTAGGGCTTTAGGGTTGAGGAGCTCCAGGGCTCCGGGTTAGGATTTCGGGATAGTGCCAGGGCTTGGGCACCTTAGGGGTTTAGGGGTTTAGGGGTTTAGGGTTTTAGGGTTTTAGGGTTTTAGGGTGTTAGGGTTTTCGGGTTTTAGGGTTTTAGGGTTTTAGGGTTTTAGGGTTTTAGGGTTTTAGGGGTTTAGGGGTTTAGGGGTTTAGGGGTTTAGGGGTTTAGGGAAAAGGGGCTTCAGGAGGTCGGGTTGAGCTTTAGGGCTTCGGGATTGATGCGTTTAGGGTTTTAGGGTGCTGGAACTCCCAGGCCCTCGAAAGCCCGAACCCGCAGGCCAAGCGTCCCTTGCTCAGGGCTGGGATGTAGATCTCGCGCATCATGACCTCTAAGTCACGGAGGAAGGTGCCTCGGATTCTTGGGGACATGTTGAGGGTCTAGGGGTTTAGGGGTTCAGGGGTTAGGGTTTAGGGTCTAGGGTTTAGGGTCTAGGGCCTTAGGGTTTAGGGTTTAGGGGCTTCGGGGTCTTCGAGAGGCATGCATCCTCGGATTCTCAGAAGGGTGGGTAGGGGGTTGAGGGTATAGGGTATAGGGTTTAGGGTTTAGGGTTTAGGGTTTAGGGTTTAGGGTTTAGGGTTTAGGGTTGAGGGTCCAGGTCAACTCGCGGGTTTTGGAGGAAGCCCGAAAACCCAACACGCAAAAGCCTAAAACGGGTTTAGGGTTTAGGGTTTAGGGTTTAGGGTTTCGGGTTGAGGGTTTAGGGGTTAGGGTTTCGGGTTTAGGGTTGAGGGTGTGATTTAGGGCTCAGGGTTCAATTTCAACGGGAGCGCCTCCGCACAACCTACCCTAAAGATCGGAGGTTTGTTCAAGGGGGGAGTTCTGATCCTGGGTTGGTGAGATCTTGGGTTGAGAGCGTGTTTTGGCGGTTGAGTGAGGGTTGAGGGTTTGGGGTTTAGGCTGAGATATATTCCCCCTTATACTAGCAGTCCTTCTAGAATAGGGATTATGATAGGGGGTACTATAATACCTATTAAGGACTGTTATTTTAAGGGGAACATCCCAAGGTTTAGGGCTTGGACGGATCAAGGGGCTTCGGGAGGTTTGCGTCCATGGGTTTACAGCACCACCTCCTAAGCGCGCAAACCACTAGCCTTAACCTCTGAACCCTAAACCCTCAACCCTAAACCCTAAGCCCCTAAACCCCTACACCAACCTCGAAAATGCCCCCGTAACACGGTATGACAGGTCACTTCTCCAACCTGTGGTTCGTTTGGGGTACCTGAAGGACAAGAGAGACCAAAAAAGAACCTCACCTTGTTGTTTCTGTGCAACCGAAACTCGAAACCCTAACCTCCTAAAATCCTAACCCCTAAAGTCCCTAAACACTACACCCTAAATCCTAAACCCTAAACCCCAAACCCTAAACTCTAAACCCCAAGCCCTAAACCCTGAACCCTGAACCCTCCTGGGCCCCCGCCCTCGACGGTACCGAAAGTCACCTCCCTCTGGATGGTCGCCGGGCTCACGGCCCTTGCGTCTTCAAAGGTTTCGGGTTTAGAGTTTAGAGGCTCATTCTGCCAAGACACTGTGGTGTCCCATGTATTCTTTTTCCCACGGGCGAGTTTCGTTGCCACGCTGGAGATGTAAATCGCATCGGTCGTTCTTAAGGGTGTGAGGTTTGAGAAAACCTAAACTTTCAACCCGAAGCCCTAAACCTGAAACCCTAAACTCTAAAGTGCTAGGGATAGGGCTTGAGGTTGAGTTTGGGGTAAATTCCAACTCAGGCACCGACACCGTAAGCCCGTAAACCCCGTAAGCTCCTGAAACAACAAAACCCCTCAGCAAGTAAGTCCCTAAACAACAAAACCGCTAAACCCCCTAGCAGCTAAACCCTAAACAAACTAAACTCCGAACCCAAAACAACCAAACTCCCCTGAATTCCCCAAACTCTAAACCCTAAACCCTAGACCCTAAACACTAAACCCTAAACCCAGAAACCGAACTAAACCCTCAACCCTTAACCCTAAAATTCTAAACCCGAAGCCCTCAATCCGTAAACCCTAAATCCGAAATCCATAAGCCCCTAGAACCCCAAGCCCCTAAAGCCTCTAAAGCCCTAAATCCCTAAAACCCGAAAACCCTAAAACCCCAAAACCCTAAAGCCCCTAAACCCCTAAAGCCCCGGAAGCCCTAAACTCACAGGTTCTTGCGCAGCCTAAACCCTAAACCCTAAACCCTAAACCCAGGTTGAGTGCAGGGCCCACCGATGTGCCTGAGCTGCTCAGCGCAGAGCTTGGTGAAAACACGTTGCAAAAGCGCCGAGTGCTCGGGGTTTGAGGGTTTAGGGTTTAGGGTGTTTAGGGTTTAGGGCTTGGGGTTTGGGGTTTAGGGGTTAGGGGTTTAGGGTTTAGGGTTTAGGGTCTAGGGTTTAGGGTTTAGGGTTTAGGGTTTAGGGTTTAGGGTTTAGGGCGTTTTGAGGTTTCTTTGGTTGAGGGTTTAGGGTCCAGTGGCTTAAAGCTTCATGGGTATGGGTAGCTACATCGGATTCAGGCTAGGAGGGTTCAGGGCTAGGCTTTAGGGTCGGTTTCGGGCTTCGGGGTTGAGAGGGCTTCGGGGTTCAGAGTGGAGTGGCTGGCTGAAACCCCTGAGCTACGGGAGAGTCTCTCGTGCTGCACCGACCAACTCCCACGTCAAGACGCAAACCCCTAATCCTTAAACCCTAAACCGTAAACCGAAACCCTAAACCCTAAACCCTTAACCCTAAATCCGCCGAGTCGCTTCATGAAGTAGAGGCACATCCGGTCCAGTGAGCAGTCGATCATCGCACCGACCTTGCATGTCTCTGGTGTTTCGGGTTTAGGGTTTCGGCTTAGGAGGGTTTACGGCTTGGGGTTTAGGGTTTAGGGGTTAGGGGTTAGGGGTTAGGGTTTAGGGTTTAGGGTTTAGGCTTTCGGGGTTTTAGGGTTTAGGGTTTAGGCTTTAGGCTTTAGGCTTTTGGCTTTTGGCTTTAGGGGTTAAGGTTTAGGCTTGGGGTTTAGGCTTTAGGGTTTAGGGTTTACGTAGTTTTTTGGGGGATTTCGGCCTTGGAACTGTAGGGTTCAGGGATTCGGGCTTGGGGTCTAGGGGCGCAGGAATTCAGGGAGGGTTGTGGGGTACGGGAGGGTTGGGGACGGGGGGGATAGAGACCGAGTCCCAGCACCCCTCAGGCCCGTCCTGAAACCCTGAAAACCCTAGTAGAGACGTGAACCTTTAGTTTTAAGCTTACAGGGCTTCTGAGGGCTTACTGACCCTAAAGGCTTAAAGGCTGTATCCACTGACCATTGAGGCCCGAATCTGAACCCTGAACCCGTCCATCCCAAAGAGTAGGCACGAGGGTTTTGTGTTTTTGGCACCGGTCTTGAATGTGGTGGGCGTCTAACTTGGTTGAAGCTTGGCATCCGCCGAGGCCTCGAGCCGTAAGCGTCTAATTTGTCAGACAGGCACCCCCCCAAGGCCAAAGCCACACGTCGGTCCCTTTGTCTTGCCTGCAATGGGTACCCCGCTAGGCGATCGGAAGCGGACGGTTTCGTCCCGCTGTACAGACACCAAAACACTCTCTCCAGCCACCCCCCGCCCTGCTGCCCTTCCCCTCACTTTGACCGCCCACCCCCAAGCCCCCCCCCTTCCCCTTTTTCCCCCAACCACCCTCACTACTCGTGATTTTTGGAGTTGACACAGTACACGTACCAAAGGCCAAAAAAATCACTCACCCCTCCTCACAAGGAGATACATCAAACATGTCCAGAAATACAAACCCCAAAGCCTGGAACCACTGGGCCCCAAAACTCTTCATGTTAGGGAATCCAAATGTCGAGCCCCCCCTCCTGGAGCTGCAGGCCGAGGCGGGTCGCATAGCGCCAGCATTAGAGGCTCGGGCCAGCTAGGGTTTGGCGTTTGGGATTTAGGGTTTAGGATTTGGGGTTTGGGGTCCTCATCCCTGAAACGCCAAACCCTACCGCCCCCTGTATTTCAAAACTCCGGAGCCCAAAGCCGTATTGTCTAAGGTTCCAAGTATGGGCTTCTTGGTTTGGGTCCCTTGTGATATTACTAACCCCTATATACACTCTGCACAAAAAGGGTTCATACATCGGATCCCTAGAAACAAGGTAAGGGACCATACTAAGGGCCCATGGTTTCAACCCTAAACCCTTAACCCTTAACCCTAAACCCTAAACTTATTGCCAAACCCCATGCCCTGGAGCCCCTTCTGCAGGCTCAACCTCCAAACTTTCGGGTTGAGATTTAGGGTTTAGGGTTTGAGGTAGTTTAGGGGGTAGGGTTTAGGATTTGTGGTTTGGGGTTTGGAGTTGAGGGTGTAGGGTTTAGGGTTTGGCCTCCGTGTCACTGGGCCGCACAACTCCAGATTCCACCCGAAGTGGACAATTCATGCCTGCCATCTGTTCTGCAGCCTTTCGCTGCAGACAACAGGTGACCGGTGCTGCGCATATCGTCACCCATCACAGCGGCCTGGGCGCATGGGGCGGCCACAAAATCTGGCGATCCGGCCTGCACGGCCTCATCACACCAACATTACGAATCAAATTTTGAGAACATCCCAATAATAATGTTATTATTCCTGTGTCTT